TATAAACACATACAAAATAACAAACAAACAAGGAAGTTGTATGTAATCACGATTGAAAACGTCAACGTCAAACAAAACCATATTTAGTTTTATTTATTTATTCAAATACCCCTCAAGGCCCAATGTATGAGGGTAATACACGGGGGGGGGGGGGGGGGGGGGGGCAAGCAAATATGTAGTACGCAGATAGAAGACAAAAATTATGCAGACGATATGAGAACGAGGAATAAAAAAGAACCTAAGTATTAGTATAACTACGCACGAGCTCCTGAAAGTTAGACATATCTAGTTCAGTTGCATTGTGAGCCGGCAGGTTAATCCAGTCGATTAAGGTCCGTGGTATGAATGATCGTGCGTAACTAGATGAGTGGCATGTGATGCGCGCTATTTTGAATGAATGATCGCGACGTGGAAAAATAATGGGTGTTTTAAAAAAAATCGTCGTGAAGCGATGCGTGGTGATAGAGCTTGTGAAATAATGAATATGATTTCCATACTTTTGAACTCTACAAAAGGTCACGTTACACCGAAAAACGTCCACCCGAAATCTGCGTCTCAAGTCACAGTGTCTAGTCACAACAGTCTGACTGTCACACTGTCCTGTCTAGACACTGGCAGTTGATTGGCTAAAGTCGCACTCAACGAGGGCGCGGTATTAGCCAAACAAAAACGCTCAAGAAGAAAATCACTAAAACGTGAGGTGTGAACATAATAAAGTCAAGCTCAGCGCGCCTTCTTAAGGCGTGAGTGACTATTGCACACAACAACAGACACACATACACCCAACACGCACTGGCGCAGCCCGCACCACCGTTGACTCGAGCGTCCTTTACTTCATAACCGAAAAAAAAAAGCTACGAACTAGGGCACGGCCGGCGTCCACTATAGGTTGAACACATCTCGAAAAACACAGAACGTGAAAAGAAAGCATCCCATCGCCATCGACAGCAGTCAAGCTCTAACAACCCGAGAATCAGCATAACCGCCACCGCCTCATTTAAAACGCACCCCCAGCCTCATTTTCGGCGGCGTCAAACCCTCCCCCCTTTCCCGAAATTGATAAACAGTCCGAAAGCGGAGGATAAGCTTCTCCCTTACCATCACCGCGAACCGCGCGGTGCTCAATCCGTACCCTCGTCACTCTAATGAATAAATTAGCTCCGCGAAAAGCCGGCGGCCGGGAGGGGATTAGGCCTAAGTAAAGCGCGTGCCACCGCGTCAATCGGGCTAAAAGCAACAGCAGGGCACACCCCCGCAGGAAGCGCCATCTAGGGAAGCCTCCGCAAACACAACTCCCTCTCGCGCGCGGGCGCGAGGGAGGAACGAGGGGTTCAGAGACAGGATTAAGCGGTAATCCGCCAGAACTAATCGCCAACTCCGAGTCCCTCCCCCCTCCTCCGCTTCGGCTTCGCCACCGCAGACGCGGCCTTTTTGGTGGGCCAAGATGGCGGCGGCGGCGCCGACGTGAAGATTAACGAAGAACTCCCGCACTGCGGGAGAAACTGTTAACGCTAGGCAGCTAGTTTATATGCTGCTGTTTTGGGGGGTCCTCTCCCATTGTTAGGTACCCTCGCGGGGATCAATACGAGGTATACGGCTTTCATTGTCGTTTATCTACGAGCTTAACGTCAATAATCTGAATACGAAAAAAAAAAAAAAAAAAAAACACTCGACCTTGCGAAAATTGTTATCCGAGCCCGAAATTCGCATGGCTAATTGGAATTAAAAGTCTGAATCTCGGAGGAAAAAATGCACAAAAATAGAGCGAAGGATGATGCAATTTTACGGAATGTTGGCGATGCACGCGATCGCATGATAGACGAGTTCCGGTTACCCATACTGCATTCCAATAAAGCAACCGATCAACATACCTAACAAGCGCCTATTCCTTACACATTCGTTCAAGAGTTATTCTGGAGCAACGCGAACAGTTGGGTTATTGTTAGTAGATTTAAATTACACCGAAGATTCAACGTGAAATATGAAACATAGCAGAAATATGAAGATACCTTATTTTGCCAACGGCTGAACAGTACGTCGTAGTCCCTCTAGGATTCCACCTTCCATTTAATACATATTCCTACGACAACTCTGACCTTAAAGGGACACTGAAGTAGACACTGAGATCATCTGTTTATGGTGATAAATCAATCTACAAACTCTAACATTAAAAAAAAATATATCGAAGTTACACTTATGGGCGGACGATTTTCCTATTAAAAATCTAATCAAAGATCGTGACACGTCCCTCTTTCTACTCCTTGGAGCAGACACCAGGAGGCGCCGTCGGAGTTTGTCAAACAAATCAAACAATAATCGATGTATTAAGTCTCCTACGCCTTAAGATTTTACGTTTTTTTCCTTCTTTTCATCATAAAACACAACGCGCAATAAAAAAAATAGCAATAACGTTCGGAATCTCCACGCGATATAACTATTTTCATCGGTCAAATTCTACGGAGGCGGTGGTGGGAGACCTGACGATGCCGGATTGCCCCGCCGCCCAAAAGAGAAAACAGTGCCAGAGTATTTCCATTGCTGCGAATTACCGGGGGACGTCTTGGCTTCTAGAGCAGGTAATTTTTTTTTATCGATTAAAGCTTAACAAGCAAACAACGTTCCACCAAAAACAAGCTCCTAGAAAAAAGAAAAAAAAGACAAGGAAAAGGCATTTGAGTGTCCTTCCTCACACATTGTACACGAGACGCGGAGTTTCTCTGCAGATATGAGGACAGATTTATCCGCAGATACGGCTCAGAAATGTCCCAAGTATGCTTAGCTTCGAACACATACGCACGCTTCGAACACATCTGCAGCAGACGGCGTTTCGTATCACCAGTGTGACGTCACCAGGGGTGGAACTCATGAAATGTATTTGGGAGCAGCCACGGGAGCAGCTGAAACCGCTGTTTTGGAGCAGGTTGGGAGCAGCTAAAACTACCTTCTGGAGCATGCTAGGAGCAGCCCAGATCAGTTTTCATTGCACTTCATTTTGTGTCTTAGACGAGCACGGGAGCAATTTCAATTCTGCTTAGCAGTACAGATGAACATGAGTGGTTAGGGACCTAGGTAAATGGGATAACAGTGTAACAGATGCGAAAACTTGAAACTTTGTGAGCCTTAATGAGAACCAAAAAGCAAGTACCACATGTTTCTGAAGATGGTGTTTTTGATATTCTCTGAGTGGCTTTCAGCTGCTCAAAATGCAAATCAGCACTGCTTATCGCACAACCCACACGTGCTCGACATAGTAATTATATGTGCGAACCTCTTGACGTGCGAAAGCAACGGACGTGCAGTTGCGTGGAGGAACAGGGAAACAAATTTCGAGTTTATCCTATTGTGCAACTGAATACCGAAGCAGCAGACTACAATTAACGGAGTTATTGTATTCAAAGCGATAAGCAGGAGCAGATCTACCACTCGCTTTAGAGCTGCTGGCCGGCAAGGTATCGGATCGGACCGCGTTTCAGTTCTATCAAATCACAATTTATCTTGCGGGAATGCGGTTCCAACTTCTAACGATGAAGTACTAAAAGGAATCTTCTGCTCATTTGTTTTCAACTGGCTGACGTACGCATCCCGGGCCGCAGAGCCCCAGGCAATCTGACGCTTAACGACTCGACCTCACCTCGGCCGACTTGCTTAACCGCTTACGGTTGAAGAATAACAATCCAGTCGCAGGTGTAACACTTCGAATCCGATCCCCGAGTTTATTTTGCGCGCTTCCGACTGGGGATACACAGGGAGAATAAACAGAACAAAGGATTGCAAGGCCGGCGAAGCTAAACGCGCTAATCGTTGCCAATCGAGTCGATAGAAACCGAAACCAAGACAAAATACTTTTTTTTTGGCGCACGTTGTGCGATTTGGTGCACAATGGCGCAAGGTATTGGCTGTGGCGCAGTTTCCGCGAAATGGCGCAGGATGGCGCAGACAAATGCGTCTGGCGCGAAATGGCGCAAATGGCGCAGCCGTTCCACCCCTGCGTCACAAAACATGACCATCAAAAACACCGAACCAGTAACAAACACCGTTCACACACACGTCCGACACACCTGTCCTCGACAGGCTCCCTTTGCTGCCCTTGGGCGTTCCACCGGGCCACGACGCAACGCTTTTGCGACGAGCGGGCACCCCCCATCTCACAAACATCCGCAGTGCAGACATAAAGGACACGGGCACGAGCGCTGTGGCTTTGAAAAGAAGTGCCTCCCACATGCACCAAGTTCTCACACGGACGAAAGCCTCTTCTTCTGAGCTATAGGCATTTCTCTTCACTGCAGACATTTGAGAGACGGAGTTATTATATATAACGGTCGGCTTTTCGGGCGTTGCGAGCGGACTATAAGAGTCCCACCCACGCTTAATCGAAGCACACGGGAGCCAATTTTAACGCGGTAAATATCCAATAAACGAGAGCACGCGGGCATGCTTAGGCGAAACGAAGATCGGAGCGCGGGAGTAATGGGACATAAAGACAAATCATCCCACAGTATAATCGCAACTCAACTCTCTGACCTCTCACACCTGTTGGCGCAGATGCTTCGCCTGAAACGAAATATCTGCACCTGAGTTTTTTGTATTTTTCCCCCTTTGCCGCTGTAAGCAAAAAGAAAAAACAAAATAAAAAAACGCGGACTTGTTTGTCAATAGTGCGTTGGTCGATGGTCACCGACAACTTTACAAACGGGGGATGAGGGCAGCTCGAAGCATCCCATTACCGCTCCGCGGCCAATAAGATTGCAGCATTAGCCAATCAAAACTCACCAAAACGATTCAGGAAGCAATTTAACATAATACTACGTCACGCCCCCACGTTTCTCAGGCGGACAGTGACTGCAGCGCAAAAGAGCGCGTAGGAACGCTAAAAAAAAAAAAAAAGCTCCCCAAAAAGTGTTTAGAATATAGGGTTAACGTTTGTACCAGTTAAGCATAATTGTAACTGTAGAGCGAGCAAAAAAGAAAACAACAACAACGTACAAAACGACGAAACTTACCCCGCTTTTTGCCGCAGTGCAAGTCCAAAAGGCATTCCTGTAAAAAAAGAAGTAAAATATATGTGGTCATCAATGTTATCAAACAAACCTACAGCACACAAAAAAGCCTAATCACACACAAAAAAAAAGAAAAACAAAACCGCAAAGGCATTAAATCTTGCTGGAAGGAGAGGTTGGAACGGGAGGAAGAGGCTAGATCAAGACTGGTCGGTTTATGGGCGGTCCAATGGAGACAAAAGCAGCCTTTGTCGCACTCGTCCGTCACGTTAGAACGCGGTACCCTGGCGTCCGAAATCTGGCTCTCGCATTCAAACGCGTTCCACGACTGCAGTGGAAACAAAAGCCACTCACTAGCTTTACCTATACCTACTAATCCCTCGAATCAGACCTCGGCGTTCTCGGACGTCTCCTCCGCGCTCTTTTTCCTCCTTCTCCCCCTCAGTTTCTTGGCACATATAGACGCTTTACACACGCGCAAAATTACAGCCGCCATTGCTGACCTTCTCTTGTCTCTTCCATATGCCGAGCCACTGAAGCGAGCGTTGACAAGCCTCCAAAGAGGCCAAGACTGTGGAGAAGGACGCAGTGCAATCTAATATATCAATAACTTGCCCTGCTGTGGTTATGATGAAGTGAAGTAAATGTAATATGAAGAAACAAAAACTGAAGGTCAGTTATGGCGGCGCCCATGCACAGCTGCGGCAAAGCGTCTGTAGATGACTGCAAGCAGGGCACCTGGCCGCCGCCATGTCTCTGCACGCGCGAGCAAGCACATGCAATCGCAAGCCTGTCAAGGCAACGTTCATACGCACGCTTCGCGTACGCATGAACGTATGCGTGCAGTAAAGACAGAGGCGTAGGCCCGTGAGCCTAGCTCAGCAGTGTTCTTTCATTGTACACGAACTTGTGCCACTTTCCAAAGTCACGCGCTCGTGCCCATGCCTTTGCCTTCTCCGCAAAGATTTGTAAGACGGATATTTTTTTTGTAATATTTCTCTACCGTCATGGCGCAGCACGCCAAAAAAAAAAAAAGAAGAAGAAAAGATTCTGTAGGCTTACAAACAAAAGCCGACTTCATCTCACAAACATCTGCAGTGCCGACAAATGCCCGGGTGCGAGCGCGTGGCCCTGGAGTATTCACTGGCGGCCATAGCTGTGTGCGCGAATTCTGAGCGCCTGCTGATGGCGAGCTTCCACACTTCTTTTGCAACGTGCATTCCGCATCATCGAGAGTGCCGGTCTTAGCAGCCTGTTGATGTGAGCTCGTTCTGAGCATGCGCTCTAAACAGCACCCACAAATATGGCGCCCAGTGAATACTTCCTATTCGCGAGGTATCCCGCAAATAAAACATCATCGCTTCACGCGCCTGTCCCCTTGTCTGCACGCGTACACATTCGTAAAACAAAATATAATCGGCAGACAATTTTTTTTTTCTTTCACGCTGGTGAAACGAACCAGACAAACAAAAGAGAAGAAGAAAGCGAACCGTCCCAAATTCGAACGCCTCGACCAAGAGACCATGACCAAGAGAGAAGCGAACAGGACAAGCGGCGTCTGCCCAGTGCCCACCACCCCCGCGGCCGTGCCGGACACCCCGGAGTCGCCAGGGCCCGAAGCCATGGACGCCTCCGAGAAGCGCAAGACCGTCATCGTGGTAAAACAACTCGCGGGGCTCGAACCACCCGGGTCTCACCCATTGTCCCGTTTTGTTCCACCGCAAACTGGCGCCACAATCTGGGCCAAGCCAACCGATCACGTACAGAAAAAAAAAAAAAGCTCAGAATCATGGCGCATTTACCCCGCATGCGTGATATGTTGTGGGTGACGGCAAACGCACTAAAAAGCCGATGAAAACCGTGACGATTCACTTAAATTGCTGCGTGATCGGCTCCGTCGAATCGCGGTCTATCAAGCTAAAGACGCTGGTTCACAGAGCACCGCCTTCTTAACCTTGCACGTTCCAAGGCACCGGACCATCCACGATCCATTCCAATATCGCGTGCAAATGTACAGTGCCCCTCAAACTTAACGCCGCCACTAGATCGTTCGGTTTATTTACTTGCTGAGCTATTCCTGAACCTAGTGGTCGAACTACTTGGTGAACATTCGCGTCCCCGATAAGAACCCAACCAGGGGAAGGTATTCGAGCAGCTGCAGCGACCAATTTATCTTTGGGTAGCATGCAATAGATCGATATTTGCGTAACCGAGTGTAACCGAGTGGCGGCGTTACGTTTGAGGGGCACTGTACTTCTTTGACCGGTTCACTCGAAGCACGGGTGTTTCGGGGACCCTCTCAACACAAGCAGACGTAAACTCCCGCGCCCTATAACGAAACGTGAGCAGACGGTGCCGGACGAACGGTTTTGTTTAAAGAGAAACGGAGTAAACGGTAAGGAACGAGTGCTCGCAAAGGCTTATTTTTCGCATCGCCCGGCAGTCCGAACCCAGGAGCCATACAGTGCCCGCGGTTGCAGGTTTGGAGTGCGAGGCTCTGGTAGCACAGAGCATCAAAGAGCCATTTCTCGGGGAACCTGGACGTCAGCGCACAGCTTTTGCAGCGGCGACGACCCGAAACACGCACTTGTTCGCTCGGGAGAAGTGTGTTTCGGCATCTCGCCGCAGCGGGGCGCCAGTCACGTGGCTCTCCCCTCATCCGTTGTTTGCCGCTCCACCTTTTTCCACTTCGGCGGCCGCTTCTCGTGGCGATCTGCCGGGCTTTGTCAGTATATAGGAGGCTATGATTCCACACTATCGAGCTCGCCGGTCTTGAGAGCCTACAAGTGCGAGCTCGTTCTCTGAGCACGCCCCGTGAACGGTGCACTCAAATATGGCCGTTATACTCAATACCCCCGCCCCAGACGCGAAAGCGCCAAGAGGCGTCCATGGAAACGCTACGCATCTAAAAAAAAAAAAAAAAACACTCGCCACGCTTTTTCCCTTTCCCAGGTGGGCATGTTCGTGGGAGCGGTCGCACTGCTCGTGGTCGTCTTCGTCTCGTACATGACGTCGGCCGAACTCGCCTACCTCGCGAAGATCCGACGAAGCACCCAGGGCGGCCACGACGCGACCAACCGCACGACGCCGAGGCGCGTCACCGAAGAGCCCGACGGATGGAGAGGCACCACCGACGACCTCTCGGACTCCTAGCGGACGTGGCGACCGGAAGGTTCGGCTGTTCACCGTACCCGTCGACAGTTTTCTGGGTGAGACTGTTTGTGTTTCAACCTCCGATAAAGTATGCATTGCATTTTTACGATACCACCTTTTGTGGGTACAGTAAGGAGGCTACTTAAGGGCACATTGACAAAGTTTTGACAAGAATGTAAAGCTCTCACAGCGTCACGTGTCACGACGTCACAATTTCACGTGACGTCACGATGTACGTCAACGTGCCACGTGCCACGAACACAAAATCCCCGAGGGTTGCTTTATGAATACCCTGCCTTTAAAGCAAAAACGACAAAAAGACAAAAAAAAAAAAAAAAACACCTTCAGATGCGCTAAATTTATATCCATACTCTATAGCCACTTCTCTACACAATCACCGCGCAGATTTAGGCAATTATCACAAGTTGGCACAAGCTTTCGAATGTCCTCCCCGGAGAAGGTTGCCGGCCGGATTCTCAGTGGTTCCATCATGCGCCAACATGACCGCCAGTCAGCACGAAGGAAACTGCACGAAGTATCGGGAAGGACGAACAAAAGGGGTGGCTGTGGATCCAGGCAGCAACCTTCTTTGAGCACGCAAAAAAGCTAGTGCTGCGTCCTAATGATCGCCCCAAAATCTGCGCCGTGGTTACACGAATAAGTAGCTAGAATATAAATATAAATTACGAGTACATTTTTCTTCTCCTCCTGTATCGAGGTTTGAAAGCAGCCGCGCTTCGATAGGAAAACGCTTTGATTGGGCGCCAGTCTGGAAACCGTGGATACGCTTCAGTAATGCTTAACTACCAGACGATTTACCCCACTGATCTTTATTGCAGTAGGTCGGATCGCGGATCGGGAACACGTCGGTGGCACAACCGGCGGCCATTGCTTAACACCAGGCAATAGTCTATGGAAGAAACACACAGAAAAATGGAGGAATATTGAAGCTTCTACGCGGTGTTCAAAGGCGAGTATTTTATGAAGTGGCGCGATCATTATATCGGGTATTTGGAGATCGAATAGGCATTCGTCGAGCGTTCGAAGGCCCGTAAAAAAAATCAAACTAGTCAGAGCGCCCACGGCTGATCTGGCAAGGTTGCTCTCGTAGTAGAGTAAACAAAAAGAACCTGCCGTCAACGAGACCGTCCTCGGGAAAGCCCAGAAGTTGATGAACGTCGAAAAAGTTCCACGTTCGCCGCGGCTTTCCGGGAGTGAGCGAATTCGGCGTAGCAAAGCCTTCAAAAGCTTGTCGTCAGCTAAACCCAACTCATCGAAACTGTTCTCAACTCCTCGGTAACTTTAGCTAACTCTCGACTCGTTGAGCTGCACTACAGTTTTCGCCCAGCGGAGTCACTCTTGACCGCGAAAAATATGTTTATATATATAAAAAAAAGAACTGTGTGGGCTGTCGATTTTTTTATGTTTGTGCACAAGCTATTTAACCAGCTCATCGAAAAGCAGTCAAAAAGTTTCATTGCCGCAAGAACAGCTTAAAAGCGGGGAAAACGGCACTCGCTTCTCGTCTTCCCCATGGAGTCCCACGCATTTGGTGGTGTCTGTCACGCAATGGGTGCCGGTAATGCCAATCAACTCCAGGAAGACAAAAAAAAAAAAAAAAAGCTTCGATTTGCGATTTACTTTACTACAATAGAGGTCGGTGATCTAACCATAGAGCAAGATGGCGGCGGGCGCCCAGAAGCCGCACTCGTAAACGTCCATGGTCACACTTGTGAGGTACTCGTTACAAGTAATCAAATTAACTGTAATCCATTACTTTTTTGGAGTAATTTAGTATATAATTCGGCGATCCTAATCCAATCGTGGAGAATAAAAAAAAACAGTTTCAAAACAGAAAAAAAAGAAAGCCGTTTTTGAAATGTTTGG